TCACATAAGTATTTGTATTCTATCAGGTCTCTGTGGTAGTGCTTACACTAGCATATTTATTCTATCAGTTCTTTGTGGTAGTGCTCACATAAGTATTTGTATTCTATCAGGTCTCTGTGGTAGTGCTCACATAAGCATTTGTATTCTATCGGGACTCTGTGGTAGTGCTCACATAAGTATTTGTGTTCTATCAGGTATCTGTGGTAGTGCTCACATAAGCATTTGTATTCTATCAGGTCTCTGTGGTAGTGCTCACATAAGTATTTGTATTCTATCAGTTCTCTGTGGTAGTGCTTACACTAGCATATTTATTCTATCAGTTCTTTGTGGTAGTGCTCACATAAGTATTTGTATTCTGTCAGTTCTTTGTGGTAGTGCTCACATAAGTATTTGTATTCTATCAGGTCTCTGTGGTAGTGCTCACACATAAGTATATTTATTCTATTAGGCCTCTGTGGTAGTGCTCACATAAATATTTGTATTCTATCAGTTCTCTGTGGTAGTGCTCACATAAGTATTTGTATTCTATCAGGTCTCTGTGGTAGTGCTCACACATAAGTATTTGTATTCTGTCAGGTCTCTGTGGTAGTGCTCACATAAGTATTTGTATTCTATCAAGTCTCTGTGGTAGTGCTCACATAAGTATTTGTATTCTATCAGGTCTCTGTGGTAGTGCTCACATAAGCATTTGTATTCTATCAGGTCTCTGTGGTAGTGCTCACATAAGTATTTGTATTCTATCAGGTCTCTGTGGTAGTGCTCACATAAGTATTTGTATTCTGTCAGTTCTTTTGTTGTGGTGAATTCACACATAAGTATTTGTATTCTATCAGGTCTCTGTGGTAGTGCTCACATAAGTATATTTATTCTATTAGGCCTCTGTGGTAGTGCTCATAAATCCATTCTATCAGTCTCTGTGGTAGTGCTCACATAAAGTATTTGTATTCTATCAGGTCTCTGTGGTAGTGCTCACATAAGTATTTGTATTCTATCAGGTCTCTGTGGTAGTGCTCACATAAGTATTTGTATTCTATCAAGTCTCTGTGGTAGTGCTCACATAAGTATTTGTATTCTATCAGGTCTCTGTGGTAGTGCTCACATAAGTATTTGTATTCTATCAGGTCTCTGTGGTAGTGCTCACATAAGTATTTGTATTCTATCAGGTCTCTGTGGTAGTGCTCACATAAGTATTTGTATTCTATCAGGTCTCTGTGGTAGTGCTCACATAAGTATTTGTATTCTATCATTCTGTGGTAGTGCTCACATAAGTAGTTGTATTCTATCAGGTCTCTGTGGTAGTGCTCACATAAGTATTTGTATTCTATCAGGTCTCTGTGGTAGTGCTTACACTAGCATTTTATTCCATCAAATGTTTACGGTGGTGCACCTGAAATGCATATCCTTTCCTTTGAACGTCTCATAGTGCTTCTACGGCATATCTACTGTAAATCAACAAACTAATGCGTGTATTAAATAATGCGAGTGCAAACCTCAAAATGAAAATGCGTGTATTTATTAATGCGAGGAGGCAAATCAGGAAATGGTTGACCAGAATGACTATACTCACTAATGACTACACTCACAACTTTGGGAAATACTATACTAGTATTTAATCCGACTCTAGTGTAAACATCTTAATTCCCCGAACACATGGGCGTTTGGATCAAAGACGGCTTTCCTTTCAACTGTTAGTACTAGTAATTGACAGTAGACAGGATGATCTCAGTTTGTAATCTCAACACAAAAGACGTTGACAAACCTGTTGATTTGAGGATTAGCGTCACGAAACCTGTTCATGCTCGCTGGATGCAATTAAAAAGGTAGGCAGAAATCGTGGAGTTAATCTTACACGTGGATGGCAGTTGGCATGTCTGCTGGCGTGGTCCAGTGAGTTCAAACCATGTAAAGTAGACTGTTTATTCAAAGACTGTAATACAACTTAAATGATTAGTGCTCAATTTTTCTTCTCCAGAATGTCTTTTACTTGTTGATATAATATAATGTCTATGTTATTGTGTCAATAAAGGAATTTTTATTGAATCAATCATTCGTCTTTGTTCACTGGGTTATCGTGCACCCAAATACTAGTAATAACGATATCGATGCAAAGACAATATAATAATGCTTTTTATTAATGCGCTCATATAGTCGTATTTTTCGCATTCATAAGTAGCTCGCATTATTTTATTGATTTACAGTATACAAATACATGCTATTAGTATTTAGGTGAACAATATGGTAGCTTGGAAAAATAGATGCAGGTATGCAATCTTGTTCATAACACCAATTAAGTTACCTTTAACTGCAATATGATTAAAATTTGAAATTTACCTTTGAAAATTGATGGAAATATGCGAGATGTAACACCCCTGGGAAATATCTTTTCATTAAACAATTTGAGCCAAAGCTAGTTTTTACATTGAAAGTAGATTGGATATCACATCTCCGAGATTAAAGTTTGGATGGAATGGAAAGTTTTTATCATCAACATGTTTCTGATATTTTATTCAGGGTCTGATAGACACAAAAGCTGCATCTGAAACTAACACCTATTATGATAACACAATATAAAAATAAGGATGAAATTTATATCTGTGTGATTACATGTAATGTATTACTTGAAATCGGAATAAGAACCATCTGAAATATTGTATGTTCGGATAAATAAGCTCTCCTGTTAGTGTTAACAGTGATTATTATCTATATGAAAGACATTCAGATAAGCATGCACGCACCAAATATTAAATTATATTATGTAGAATTAATTAACAATAGTTTTTCGACTGAACAACATTTGCAACAATATAGATTAAATTTTGCAATAAACACCACAAAAGATATTCCATATATGCACCAATTTTCAACATCTGCTACTGCCCAACAGACATGCTCTGTACCTGCATCATAGTACACACACAACAATATCTGACTGCAGTGACATATGGCGGCTATGGGATGTGCATAATGTAAGCCAGTTATAGAACTTTCAGGATTGTAAACAGGCCCCATGTATTCACCAGACATGCATTGAGATTCATGAGTATATGCAAGCCAGTATTCATGGTGTATGACTGCACTTATAACACATATTTGCTGAATACAAAATTCATGGTGATATATGCATAGGCAATTTTTTATTTTGTCTACTGTTTCAATGAGTGAGTGAGTTTAGTTTTACGCCACACTCAGGTATATGATGGTAGTCTGTAAAGAATCAAGTCTGGACCAGACAATCCAGTGATCAACAGCATGATCATCAATCTACGCAACTGGGATATGATTACATGTGTCAACCAAGTCAGCGAGCCTGACCACCCGATCCCGTTAGTCGCCTCTTACGGACAAGCATGGGTTACTGAAGATCAATTCTAACCCGAATATTCACAAGTGTTTCCATGATGAAAGATGGTTGATAATTATTATGATCTTATAACGAATACTTCGCTTGGATAATGGGTGACCATGTTTGGCAGCTTGACTCCTGAGAGTTTCTAGGACTTCAGTCCTGCCCCACAAACAAACACATGTGATACATGTGGTCTCACCTTAGGCAAGTGAGTTTGTTCAAAATTGCCTCTGTTCACCCAGCAGAAAAATGGGTACCCGGTGGGATAAGTCATGTGACTATAACCTTCTAGCACTTCACAGGCAGTTAGGGTTATCCTGGGTAATAATAATCAGATTGTAACAAAAGTTGTAGTGCTTTGAGCATGAAAAAGTGCATGGAGCTTGGAGCTCTACAAATACACTGTATTATTATTAGGGCTGCAACGAATACGCTATGTGGTGAATATGATATGTATCATGAATATTGGGTAACGAATACGAATAATTATTCACGAATACAATATTGTAGTTAAGTGATTGATGTACAATATGGAAGGCCCATGTTGACAGTTTTGATTTGTCACACCAATAACCAGTGATCCCATGACACTCAAATTTGGTATGTAATAGTTATAGTCGACAGTACCATGTGCAGCCTTGGCAAACTAACATGACTTGCACTACTGCAAGGCTAGTACATATTCCATAACTCCATATCTCACTTTGAAAATGGACTTAAGGCTTCAAGTAAAACATTTTCCCTTAAATTTTTTTAAATATTCGTTAATATTCGGTTCTGGTGACCACGAATAACGAACTGAATTCATGAAGGGCTTCAGTTCGATTCACCGAATATGCGAGTGAATCGTAACAGACTTAATTATTATTATTATAATACTTTCAAAATGATCAAATTCACACACCTTTTGGTTTCCAAGTGCATGTATATATGTTTACCCAATGTGCTAATGATCCACAGTGCACTGACTAAAGGTCTAAAAAGAATCAGTTAAGGCAACCGAATATTGTATCCTATAACAATGGAAATAACTGAATGAAAACAATCCAACTTGCTGGGATGGCCCATTGACCCAAGCCTAGTCCCTTGTTTGAGGTTTGTGATCAAAGTTCTGGATCTGCTCTGAGAAAAAGCAGTTTTGCAAGGCATTCTTGATTAATGATAAATGAGAACGATGACACAGGGTGAACCACAAAACCTGAATCTTATTTCAAATGGAAACATATTCCATCAAATGATTAACAAGTGAGTGTGAGAGTGAGTGAATATGGTGTTGTGGAGCTTTTCGCAATATTCCAGCATTATCACAGCAGGGGACACGGGAAATAGGCTTCACACGTTGTACCCATGCGGGGGATTCAACCCTGGTCTTCTGCATGACAAGCAACACATTAACTACCAGGCAACCCCACCATCCCTTCAAGCTATTAATATTATTATTAGTAGTAGTAGTGAGTGAGTAGTAGTTTCACGCCCTTTTAGAAATATTCCAACAATATCAAGGCAGGGGACACCAGAAATAAGCTTCACACATTGTACCCATGCAGAGGATCGAACCCAGGTCATCGGCATGACAAACAACACTTTAAATATTAGGCTTCCTTACTGCCCCTTCAAGCGATTAATAGTAAGTATAAATTCAGTAAAATCTTACCATGATTTCTTTCTGGCAGCCTGCTAATCCTCCAAACAACTGATTTGTACACATGCTCATATTTAGCACTGCCGACTGATGCTTCCATGATGGTTGGAGTGAGAGCCCCTTGAGCCATCATAGTGAGGCGTTCTAATCCCTTGATCTTGCCAGGTTTGCGAGCTGTTGCTTTGAAAGAGCCATATCCAAACCTCTTCTCATAACGAAACAGGTAAATCCATGGCTCTGGTATTGGGAATCGGATTTCAATATCCTCACATGGGAACTGTCCATGTTTTTTGCTGTTTGCATGGTATCCAGTCACTAACATGTCACACCTAATTTCAAAATGGTGACCTTTCAAAATCTGTTGGATTCTCATTTGCATTGGAAGTTCACGGTTTTCTTTAGGGCGTATTCGGAACCGTAAAAGTTCAAACTGACATGCATCTAAGGGATGAAATTTCAGAGTGTTTGTTCTGTCAAATTCATCCAAGTCAACAGAACAGTGAAACTCTGGGTCCTCTATTCTAATCCAATCCTCAGTTTTAACAGGAATAATGTCATACCTTCCCACTACTTCTCTACCCTTTCGCCTCCGGTCGTTCATTCCCAGCTCACAAGATGGCATGCCAGTAGCAAATGCCAGAAAGAAAACTCTAACTCTTGCCTTCTGAGCCTCAACATGACCTTCTTTGTTGATGACAGCTCTGTATTCATCCCAGACCTCAGCCTGAACCTCATCCTTGTTATAGGACAAGGTCTTTTCTCTATGAGCTTCTAGTTTCATGAAAGCATCTTCAATTTCCCACACAAATGTCCTCAAGTCATCCTTACTTAAACTGCCAAATTTCAAAAGTTCAGACACTTGAGGTGCATGATCTAGTATCATGGTTGGCTTCGGCTTACGCACAAATGAAGGTGTAATCCTCTCTGGTCTTATTCCAACTCTTTCCCTGTAAAATACATATTGAATTTTGACAGTATGGATTTTGCCAAACTGATCAAACTGTTGCAGTGCTGTTTCAGATATGGAGTAACATGGCTGAAGAGGCAGCTCCTGCACAGGTTCATTGTCACTTTCATCATTATAGATTTTTAACAGAAGCCCACCATCTTTAGGTTTACAGAGCCTAACAAACACAGTTTTCCAAAATCTGTTTCCAGCTAGCTTTTTCTTTGTTGGTTGCCTCAGCATTAACTTCCAGCCATCCCTTTCAAACTTGGGATTGAATTCTTCTATCGGCCCAAATTTGTCTTCTTCCTCGGGAGTGCTGCTTTCAGTTGACATGCTCTGGAGAACATCTCGCTGTTCCTTTGCTTTGGGAGTCTCCTCTTCCATCACCTGAAACTTGGCAAAGTTTTCCTCAGGAGGAGAGTCTCTGTCAAAAGGGTTTTCTCTCATGGGCATTTGTGGGGATTTTGGTGGTTTAGGTGGTGGAGGCAAAGCAGGAGGAGGGCCAGTAGAAACAGTTTGGACAGAATCAAGAGATTTGATTTCAAGCATGAAGGTGTCCTTCTCATTATCATTGTCATTGTCAAACTTGTCAAGATTGTCATATGTTGAGTTATTGAGTTGTGGGTTGTTGGACACAGGGCCGAGGCCACCCCCAGGTACATCATCTGGGTGTTCACCATCAATTATTGTCTTGAAAGGGTCAAATATGTCAGTTGAGTCAGTGTTTTGTGCTGGTGCTGGAGCTGCTGGTGCTGAACCTGCCCCAAACAGGAAGTCAGCTGCACCTGTTCCAGAATCTGTGTTTGTATTTGTCACACCAAATGCATCATCTGAAAAAAATGGATTAGCTTTCTTTGCCTCTGCAGCAATGTTTTCAAAACTAGCTGTCAGGAAAGGATTTTTGGGTTTGGCATCAAGTTGATCAAGCTTTTCACTGGCTGCTTGGGTTGGAATACTTGCAGTTGTAAAGAGATCATCCTGAAATGGATTAGCAGTTTGAGTAACAGATCCTCCATCGCCCCAGATGTCAACAGTTGGGGCAGATGTCGTACGCTTTACAAAGAAATCATCATCAAAATCCATATCTTGCTGGAATGACACCTGAGGTTTTGACTGTACTGAATCAAAAGCTTGATCACTTGATGTATCCATCATGAATGGGTTCTTAGATGAAGCGGTGGTCTGTGGTTGACTTTGATCTGAAAATGCAGGATTTGTTTCCCCAAATGCTGCAGAGAGGTCACCAAAAGCTGTAGATTGAACACCAAAAGCTGCAGATTGGTCAGCAAGTGTGGTAGACTGTTCACCAAAAGCTGTCGATTGGTCTCCAAAAGCTGCTCTCTGGTCACCAAAAGCTGCAGATTGATCACCAAAGGCTGTTGTTGTCTGTTCAACACCAAACCCACTGGAATCACCAAACCCACTTTGGTCACTCATTGAACTTGGTTCTCCAAAAGCATCATCACTGAATGAAATTGTTGGCTTTGTACTTTTGGTTTCTGGCAAATCACTGGTAGTAGGTTCTTTTTGTGGTGCAAATGGATCAAGAGTATCAATTGGATTTTTATCACTTGATTTGTGACGATTTCCAACAGAACCCCATATACCATCAATTTCTTCTGTATGAACAGTTCCAAAGGGATCAAAACTGACAGCCTTCTTCTTTGGGGCAGCAGGATCCTTTGGTGGAAGTATTCCTTCTGACTTGAAGGGGTTTGCAGATCCAGCAGTCTGTTCTTGCTCTTTGCTTACTTGCTCTACTCCCCATTGTAGGAAGTCATCCACCAGGCTGCGAGCTAGATCTGACACTGCGGTGCTCTCTGGAACCATCTGATCCTGCTCATTGAGGAAGTCCTGATCAAAGGACAGGGGACTAGAACATAGTGAAGACTGGGCACTGCTTTGGTTTGTTGAGCAGCCCAAGAACCAGTCAGACATTCCAGTATCTTGAGTGGTTACTTGGACCTTAGAGGGTGAAGTGGGATGACTAAGAAAGTCTCCAAGTCCCAAGAGGTCTTCATTGACGTAGACTTGACTCTGAGGCTGTATATTTGCATTGGTGTCATCTGTAAATGATAAGCCCAGCAGATCTTCCTCCGCTGGAGTAGGCGGATGAGGAACAGATATTACTGGTTTCTCAAACTCCAGAATATCTGTAAGGTTTTCTTGCTCCATGCTTGACCGTCTACTGCTGTAGGGCGGCTGGGGTGAGCGACTAGGAGAGTGTACAGGAGTGATTTTTAGATGAGGTAGGTCTTTCCCTGGATGGGCTATGAGAGCAGAGAGATCATTTTCGTTTTCATTCCCATTTAACTCTGTTGACATCAATTCTTCAACATCATGTTGTTCAGGCTCTTCAGATGACAATGCTTCTGAATTATCAAACTGAGTCCATGAAACCGATGAAGAATCTTTTGAATCACGTTTTTCAGCTTTAGATGGAGAAATGCGACCAGATGGTGAAATACGACCTGAAGCTAACTTCCCTAAACTTGTTTGTGTTTTCAATACATTAGTTTTGATTCTATCTTGCATCTGCAGGAAAGCCTGCCAGTGTTCTGATTTTGATTTAACTGTTTCATCAACCTTTTCATCCTCTGCTAATTCTTTGGTTAAATTTTCTCTAGAAGGTGACTTTGATGGGGACTTAGAAGGTGATTTAGATGGAGATTTATTCTTTCTATGTGCCCCTTGAGATGCTCGAATGAGAAAACCCAGACCTTTTGAAGCTTTGGCTTTTTTGAATGGACTGCTGCTTTTGAAGTGTGATCCTTTACTCTTTGGGCTTTCTACATTGGGTTTGGCTGAAGCTGTTTCTGCTTTGTCAAAGACGTCATCTTTATCAGTTGTGATCGGCGAGGGTAGATCTGGGACCAAATTTGATGATTCATCCCAGGATCCAGTGGACATCTCTAGACAAAAGGATCAACCTGAAAAACAAATATATAATTTTAATTCACATGACAGAAATGTTCACATCTATACCCCAAAATAATAATTCATTTCTTGAGAAATATTAAAATAATTGCCAATCTCTTTCTCTTCTGTGTTTGCAGTTGGTGAGTGACAGTTAAGTCTCAGTCGCCAATATTCCCACTATATCAATCAGATCTTGGACCAACCCACCAGCGGTTAAATGCAACAGCCATGTTGTACATCACTGGGGTATGAAGGCAAACCAATAACCAGGGTAAAGAGTTTTCAAGTCATCACCTATATCATTCGGCTCTGTGCACATACGTTTTTTCATGAATTCAGGGGAAGAGATTTTCTTGAATGTCGAAAAGATGATAAACCATAAGACAAACAAAACTGACATCCTAGGAAATAATATGAATAAGAATGCAAATTACAAATAGATTCAAAACATAACTACTTTCAAATAACACATGATACAATGTGATGGGTGGATGGTATGTCCATTCTATAGCCATGCTCCTGTATGACAATAAAACACCTTGGCTGTTCAGTTAGGGCAGTTCAGTTAGGAAAAAACACCTCAAGTAAGTCAGCAGATATGTTTAAAATTGTTTGAACAGCCTAAACACTATTGTTTGCATGACTGTATTCAGTCTATCAATATCCTCAGTCAGAGCTCAAATATTGTCACTAAATAATATAAGAATATGTCCATAGCTTGCATTCCAGTCCAATGACAAAATCATCACTCAAGTGAAAATATCCAAGAGTTAAACAGCAACTCACTACCTTCATCTAAAGCTCCTAAGTATGGTTTCTTCCTAAATATGACTTCTTTTCAAAATACAAATGATCTCTTGAGGAACACTGCTCTGTTGTCATGGCAATGAGGACAGAGTTCTTGTTAATTTTCATATCATCCCCAAAATACAAGGGGGATTGTAAACTGTGATGCTTTCTGGCAAACCCCTGTATGCGCATCAATGGCGATTATTCAATTATTCCCCTCTCTGTCAACTCCAGATATTGAACAACGTCAGCAAGTATTACGAGGTTTTTAGGCTTTTTTATGACAGAATAAGCTGAGTAACATTTCCCTATTGATTGTTATTGCACACAAAGGTGACCACCAAGCTGATAGGTTCTTGAATTGTGGTATGCCAGCTCCATTTCCCTGTGCTGGATGAAAGACCATTTTTGAGCACCATTGCAATAACAGACATCTGGTTAATGCCAACAAGTTAAAAACAACATATTGATCACACACAAACAGGTTTCCCTTGCATTGAAAAATGGTAAAACATTGACTGTAACCCAAGCAAATGTAATCCACCTCCAAAACAGGTTCAGGAGAAAAGGTTCTTGCTAAAAAGATGAATGGTTCTAAATACAGATTGTGATTACTGACAGATGTCGATGAAAGACTGAACAATTAATGTTTCTGCTGGAATAATGGAATTAACAACATGTGTAGTTCGGTTCCACTCCTAAATTTTAATATAAAATATATATAAAAAGAGTAATTGAATACCATTGTCAAGGTCATTGCACAGGTTGCTCATAAAACACAACTAGATGCAAATACAAAGCGTGAATGCCATTTAATTATGTACTGACAATTAAAAAGAGCATGAAGGGTAAATGAGTACAATTTTCTTTCACATCTAAAAAATTAGCAGCTACTGGATTAAAACACAAAATCTATTACAGTACAGCCCAATAAATAGGGTTTTACTACGATCACAGAAGTATATAATCAGAAGAAGAAAATTCCACCTTTTTCTGAAGAATCTTCAAAATGAAATAGCAAAATAATATTAATGAAAGTTGTCACCTAATGAGGTCAACAATATTAAAAGGCTGTGACAGATGTCATCTTCATTAAAAAGAAAATATATTTTAATATTAATTATGTATGTATTGTGTATACCGGTAGGCATGTGCAAGGTTGATTCAGAAAAATGCTAACAGCATTCCACTCAATAAATTACACGACTTTCAAATAACATCAAGCTGTCTCTCAAGTACAGATGTTCTATCTGTACCACAAGGAACATATTGTACCGAACACAATGTATCTCACATTAGATAGAGTTTCGGGCAAACAGAAATTCAGGTTTTTAAGTTTGGCTGAAGCATCATTACTTCAGCAAGGCTGGCCAAAAAATGATAAGTTTTGCTTTGGCAAAGTGTCTGTTACTTACCATAAATTCACTTAATACATGATATGGTTGCTGAACTCACATAGTCCTTTGTAACACATAAATTGAAGATACATGTAAAATTGTTTTGATAATGAAGGACTATTTCTGTCTCACCAGAATCCACTGGTCCTAGAATATCAGTCTCAACTGTACCAATCCAGCTGGAGAACACTGGACATACACGTGTCACATATATTTATCTACCAATAGATGATAAAATTATTACAAGATTTAACAGCAACACTTAGAAACAATCAATAATACATCTTATGCTAATCACGACATTGCTTGGGAACCACACATATGCTATGGTAATAATCTATACTTCACAACCACCACAGATCATTAACGCTTGCTTTTAACCTCATTCCCCCGCTCCACAAAGACACATTCGTTATACATGATCACTCCTTCAGTAATCCATGGACAATCACATTCATATTAAGTGTGCAAGTACAGAAACAGTAATGACACAAAAAAATTAAAAACCCTAACCACAAGCCTACCTTACTACTACAACCAATGTAGGCACCAATGGAATTTCATCCAACTGCTTGCGAATGCTGACAGACGTTGTGGAGGACATTAACACAGTGCCAGTGAGTGATTGGTAGAGAGTTTGCAGGAAGTTAGAAGTGGTAGGTGGAATTTTGAGGCGTGATGGCACTAGATGTCACTCTAGAAAAGAGTCAGCATCCAGCGTGTTGTCACAACCACCATGTTTCTATCGTGTCAGCCGGAACTTGGAATCGCAGCTTGCGTTGGTCACATGACTTGTGCAGCACAAGATTTACGATAATTTCCAAATTTGGATCACTGTTGTAGTGTTGTAAAAGAAGTCCATTGGGAACACCATATTGATGTTCTAAGTAAAAAATCCTTGATAGATGGAAGGGAAAGGCTAATGTTGCATATAATAGTGAATCTCTCAGTTGGACTTCATTATTATGAATGGGAATTTGAATAAAATATATTGAGTTGAAGTGACCAGAATGTCTAATCTGTCATTGCTATGAAGGGGAGAATGAATTATTAAACCACTGACTGTGTGTGAACCATTTTGAATCTGTGGATTGAATATTGCGTTGTTTTCAGCACAGAGTCGATCTGGTTATAATGAGAATACTTCAAGCCGGGAGCAAAGCTTAGGTTGACGAATAAGTCGGGGAAAATCAATACCTTTCGTAGAATGAAGCCGATCTCCTCTCCCACACAACCTCTTGTCCTTCACAAGCACTGTGCTGAGCTTACAGATTAGACTCATAAGCCTGTTGCCCTAGCCTGTAAGCAAACTTTCCATAAAATTGGATGAAATATTGTTTCACCTGTCAATGATTGGCCTCATTGGTTCCAAGGATTCGGCAAATGGTAGCCGAGAGTTCTTCCTTGATAATCTAACCTGCTTACTACTGATCCGTCAATGCACTGGTGACAAGCATGATTCCATCAGTGTTGCAACTTCAGTATGGGCTATGACACAATGATGGTGCAAAGTCATCAACACCTTCCACATTGCTGACTCGGTGGCAATGTGCTGAAACCCTGCTCCAGACTGTCTGAAGCATTACAAGCCATGGCACCAACATATACACCTCTGATGCCCTAACCACATGACTCGATGAAAATTAATATCACAGTGGCATGCTTCTGATACTATGCCAATGGGAATAACCATCTATGAAAGCATGGTTAATTTGTAGCTTGTGCAAATTCACTGGTTGAGTCTGAAATTACATACTGGTGGAGTCTCCAGCTTCTGACTACATGTATCTCAAACCATACCAACTAGGCAGGGACGTAACTGGATCAGGAACTGTGTACCACCTCTGACACTCAATCCCAACAAGACTACATCGAACATGCAAAGGCACTTACAGGATAACGTATATCTGTAAATTGTATATTCATATGTTTTATCACCCTTCCCACATCATGCCCAAACCATGATGATTCATATATGATGTCTGACTAACTTTCAACAAGGCACTCAATATTTGTTGATTCAAATTACATCTGTCTTTATTACCTTTCCACACAAATCTACATCATGAAATATACACCACTGACAGTATATAAGCAAAGTAATGATTTGAATATGGCTGTTGTTCCGGTTAACATTTATAATCCGTACATCTGTAGATATTATATCATTAACAACTTTGTGAAATATTTGAAATATGTTCATTCTGAGAAACATTGTTAGCAAACATGATTCTTCGTTCCATACTATGTACACATTTGGTAACTCAATAACTATATTATGTACTATTTTGTACCGTAGGTAGTATGATCTTGTATGCAAATATATTATGTCCAAAGTCATCAAGTGGGCATTACGTCTCCATTCTTAGTCTCTGTACATCTTCTGATATTAATATCATCAACAACTCTGTGAATTTTCTATTTTTAAATATGTTTACTCTGCGAAAGATTGTTAGCAAACTCGTTTCTTCGATCCATACTATGTACACATTTGGTAACTCAACAACTATATTATGAACTATGTTGTACTGTAGGTCGTATGGCCTCATATGCAAATAAATCGCTCTCTCTCTATAATACTGTAGCAATGCATCTGAATGCAACATCAAATCACAATGCAATTTCACATCATGCATGAACAACCGGTGATGTATGTGTCAGTGGAAGTGTATGTGCCTATTTGGGAACTAACAATAACTGAAGCACTTGATCTAAGCACACTTGTAAAAATGCTTTGGAGAGAGTATTTCAATGAAAAGACACAATGACAAATTGAGTGTACAAAATACAAGTAATGTAGAGGTGAGACATCAGTATCCAAAGCT